GAAGAAAGGAAGAGAAATCACATCACAAAAGGGTCAAATCTAATGCAATGGAAAGACAGAGAGACTTACAAGCTGTCTGATCTTTACATGGGAAAGTACTGCTACTTTTGCTACTCAGGCCTTCTCTCAAAGCTGAACCTCCTTTCTCCAGAGGCAAGACTACAATATTTTCCAAATAGTTGCCAATGAACTTGCAATATTTTTTGTCATCAAGAAAAATTTACTTATTTTTCTGAGATAGGGTCTCAACGCTGTTGCCCAGCCTGGAGTGCAGCGGCACGATTACAGCTCACTACAGCCTCAGTCTCCTGGACTCAAGCAATCCTCCCACCTCAGCCTCCCAAGTAGTTGATAAGGCAGGTGCGGACCACCATACCTTGCTAACTTATTTTTTGTAGAGCCGGGGTCTCACTATGTTGCCCAGGCTGGTCTTGAGTTCCTGGGCTTAAGTAATTTTCCCACCTCAGCCTCCCCAAGTGCTGGGATTACAGGCATGAGCCACCACATCTAGCTACTTTTTTTTTTTTTAAGGAATATTATATCAAGTTTCCCAGAGCAATTAAATTCCGCCCTGCCCAAGTCTCCAGCCCATGGAGCAAAGGTTCAGTGGGGGAAAGCAGCCATCTTGGATAAGCCCGCTGACTCTCCACAGGAAGAGGAAGGAGCTTTCCCTTGCCTGGCCATCCAGCAGTCATAAAAGGATGCATCTTATTGATGTGGGCTAAATCAGAAATCCCCCACTCAACAGCAGAGGCACCAGTTTAGAACAGGAAAGGAAGAGGGGAGCCAGTGCTGAGTTGAATGGTGAGAGCTTAAGGGTGATGGAAACCCAATGGATGTCCACAATGTTCTCCTGGCACCGAGGGGGGTGGGCATGTGTGAGCTGGTTCAGGGATCTGGACCTCTCAGACCTTGGCAGGAGGTGAATTGGTTTACTTCTACTAGGAGGTGAGGGCAGGGGCACAGCCTGGGTCTCATGTCTCTGAGTCTGGGGGCACCTGAGGGCTGTGACTGGGACTCGTTCATCTCTGCATCCTTGCACCTGGGCACCCAGCCCTGGCACCAAGCTACTTGTTTTTCTTTTCTGAAATGTGCTATGCAAAGCCTCTCCTCCATGCCACTGGATTTGCTCTCTGTCTTCCCAAAACACCTTTCTTGCATGTCTTGCATATAACTGGCTCCTTTGTGTCATTCAGATCCGATATTCCCCTGGTTCCTCTTCAAAGTGGCCTTCCTTCCCTCATCACCACAGGTGAGGATTCCCTGGGGAACTCTCTATTGTGTTACCTTTGTGTATTTGTGCATCAGAGCCCTGAGCACTTTCTGAAACTATCTCTGTGTTCAATTGCGTAATCCAAAGGTGGCCACTATAATATCTCCCATTCCACATGCTATTTCAGAACCCCACCACTCACTCATGAGGTGAACTCTAATTCTGCCCCACCTTGAATCTGCATCAGCTTGTGACTTGCTTCTAATCAAAGTGACTTCAGAAGCTGGGTCAGAAAAAGCAAAGCAGCTTCCCCCTGATTTCTTGGGACACTTGCTTTTGGAGCTCCCAGTCACTGTGTCAGAATCCGGCTGCTATGCTGTGAGGAAGCCCAAGCCACATGAAGGGGCAGAGTTTGGCTGCTCCAGTTGACAGCCCCAGCTGACTCCCAGTATTAACAGCCAGATATGTAAATCAGGTTGCCTCCCTACCCATGACTCCAGCCCCCAGCCATCCTGGAGCAGAGACAAGTCACCCCCACCATGCTCTGACCAAATTCCTAACCTACAGAATGTGTGAGCATGGTCAAATATGTCAGCCTTCCATATAGATGGGTTCCACATCCACGGATTCAACCAATACTGGAAAAAATAAAATTAAAAAATAACACGATTTTTAAAAATACATATAAAAACAATACAGTATACTTATTTACATAGCATGTACATGGTATTGGGTATTATAAGCAATCTAGAGATTATTTAAAGCACACAGTGTGTAGGTGTTATATGCAAATACTACACCATTTTATATCAAGGACTTGGCATCCTGGGATTTTGGGATCCAAGGTGGGCTCCTGGAACCACTCCCTCCCAGAGACAGAGGGTGGCTCTAGTTGTTTTAAGCAAAACTTAGTAGTTTTGGAGTAATTTGTTACACAGAAACAGTAACAAAAACAATATTTACTTATTATCTGTCTCCTCCCAATAAAATGTGGGCTCCATGAAAGCAGGGAACTCCATGTCTTGGTCCTTCCCATATCCACAGTGCCCTGTATATAGAAGGTACTCAATAATTAGCAGTTGATTAAGTGGAAGAATCTGAATTTGGGAAACAACAGCGATGATGTTGCATAGTTTCTTTTTTAAATTTTTTTTGTGACTGGAGTCTCACTCATTCTGTGGCCCAGGCTGGAATACAAGGACACAATGTCAGCTCACTGCAACCTCCGCCTCCTGGGTTCATGCAGTTCTCCTGCCTCAGCCTCCAGAGTAGCTGGGACTACAGGTGCACACCTTCATGCCTGGCTAACTTTTTGTATTTTTAGTGGAAACAGGGTTTTACCACGCTGGCCAGGCTGGTCTCGAACTCCTGACCTCAAGTGATCCACCGGCCTCAGCCTCTCAAAGTGCTGGGATTTCAGGTGTGAGCCAGCATACCCGGCCAATGTTGCATAGTTTCTGATTCATGTAATACAGCACAGTTATTGTACACCTACTATGTGACAAGCAAGTCGCCAGGGGCTAGGGACACTGTGGGGTTAGCTTTCTATTCCTGTGAAATCCTATCACAGGGACACGAGGGAGGACCACCAAAGAAACAAAAGCCCCCACCCAACTCTCCGTATCTGCCAAACATAGATCTAAAAGGCTGACTTTTCAGAAAAACTAGACTTGTGATTGCCAAATGCAGCCAGCCCACATCTGGGGGTGTATTTCATTATCCCCGGGCGTGGCTCTTTTCCATCCACAGCTCAGTCACTTGTACTCTGGCCTCTCACTAGGCGAGCGGATGACTCCAGACAGGGACCATGTGGCAGGAAGGCTGCCTGGTTCTGCACATCTGGCCCCTTCCCGGGGGGTTCCTCCCCAACAGCTGTCCTCCCCAGGCTCCCTTGCCAAGCAGAAGGCCAAGCTTTCAAGCTCTAAAAGTAATTCTGGCAGGGGTGCTGCGGGCTGGGAGGGAGGCCTTCAGGATGCGCCTCCAGGTTTAACCACTTAATCCCCAAAGTACCTGCCAAGAACCAGTTAGCATGTCTGGCTGGCTGTCCAGGCCGTCATTAATTCATTAAAGCAGGCTCCCGCTGGCCCATTATCTTCCTTGCCACTGACCACGTCGCCTTATGGGCCTGCGGAGTCCCCCTATCTCCCCTTCCCCTGCTCTCAAAGCAGGATTCTACCCAGCCCTGGCCCCAACTCCCAGGCAGATTCCTCGGCTCCATTCTCTCTCCCTCCCTGCCCCCTCCCTAGGCACGCTTCTCCCTCCCTCCCATGCCTCCGCCAGCCAATGCTCACCATAAAGCGTCTTTTGTTCCCTCTCCCCTGTATCTTTGAGTATTGACTGGTTAAATCATACCCACCTCCTCCCGGCCTCCCCAGCCTCAGAGGAGCTTCCCCTGGGGCTCTGGAAGAAAGGGAATTTCACTTATGCAGGAATTCACTGTGCACCACCCTGTCTGCTTACTGCCCCTATCTCCTCTTCCCCTGCAAGTCATGGGGTGAGGGGGGCTGTGTGCCCTTAAAGAGGGAAACTCTAATTCCATTGGGGATCACTTAGGTGGGCGCTCTCTGCCTTGGCTTCCCCTTTGAAATAAAAAGAATGGCTCTGACTATTTTATGACATCCTGTGTTGAGTGAAGTTAAGAGACAGACACTGCACTGGACACTTTTTTTTTTTTTTTGAGACAGGGTCTTGCTGTCCCCTAGGCTGGAGTACAGTGGTGCGATCTCAGCTCACTGCAACCTCTGCCTCTGGGACTCAAGTGATCCTCCCACCTCAGCCTCCTGAGTAGCTGGGACTACAGGTGCACACCACCATGACCAGCTAATTTTTGTATTTATTTATTTATTGTTTGTACAGATGAGGTTTCACCATGTTGCCCAAGCTGGTCTTGAACTCCTGGCCTCAAGTGATCCACCCACCTTGGCCTCCCAAAGTGCTGGGATTACAGGATTGAGCCACTGCACCCAGCCTGTACTGGACACTTTAGATGAATGTTCTCTTATTATTCACCCAATAACCCTGGAAACAGCTCCAGTTTACAGATAAAGGTGCAGAGAGGTAATGGTTCTTTCTCAAGGCCACACTGTCAGCAAGTGGCTGGGCATTAAAGAGTCTCTTAACCGTTATTCTCTCCTGACCCTCCTGGCACTGGTTTCCCAGGAGGGCAGGCAGGAGTGGTGTGGAATTTCCAGCAAAAATAAAGGGAAAATGTTGACTACCTTGGGAAAGAATGACAGTAAATGCACAGTAATAATCATGATGGCTCATAGGTATACCCACTGTTCTAGAGCTTTCTGTGTATGAATTCATTTAACCCTCTTAACAACGTGCCTACGCATTAAGTACTATTATTATCCCCATTTTACAGATGGGAAAACTGAGTCTTGGGCGTTTGTTGCTGCTTGTTATTTTCTTTTAAATGACTTCTGAGAAAAGTATTGATGGCTTGCAGGAGAGGCTCAAAACAGTTATGCTGAAAATGTAAATATATATACATATATACGTATACACATACATACATACAATTATTATTATTATTGAGTTGGAGTCTCACTCTGTCGCCCCGGCTGGAGTGCAGTGGTGAGATCTCAGCTCTTCTCCACTCACTTCTTGGATCACTGCAACCCCTGCCTCCCGGGTTGAAGAGATTCTCCTGCCTCAGCCTCCCGGGTAGCTGAGATTACAGGTGTGCACCACCATGCCCAGCTAACTTTTTTATTTTTAGTAGAGATGGGGTTTCACCATACTGGCCATGCTGGTCTCAAACTCCTGACCTCAGGTGATCTCCCTGCCTCGGCCTCCCAAAGTGCTGGGATTACAGGTGTGAGCCACCCTGCCTGGCCTGTGTGTTGGAAATATTGATCCTGCATATAGCTGAGCACACCCTTGAAACCTATGAGAATTGAAAGTGGTGGTTCCCACCCTATACGGCTGGCACAGGCCTCCCTCAAACACCTAAGGTACAGCTGTGAACATTCCCCTTTCTCCATTAGGGTAGGGAAAGTGGAGAGCACTCCATATCCGGTATAGAACGCAACAAATTGTCTTCCTCCAGTGACTTTTCTGTCCCTTCTACTTAATTGACCAGAGCTGGGAAAAAATGGGTTTCCTCAAATTGAGCTAAAAGCATGAGAAAGGCCGGAGCCGCTGGTATTCTGAGATCAGATGTAGGCTGCAGGGAGAGAACCTGTTCCCGGCCAGTGAAGGGAGCTCCAGCACGGGGAACCCGGGCTGGGAGCGCAGAAGGCGGGCGGTGAGCAATTCTACGGGTGTCCCGACGGTATGAGGGGCGGCGCTGGAGGGAAGCCGTGCGGGGCATCCTGAGGTCAGGGCACCAGAGCCTGCAGAACCCTGGAGGTTGTGGCTGCTGGGGACGCGCGGGCGGGACACGGCAGGTAGAAGAACCCACAGGTGTGGGAAGACGGTGTCTCAGAGTCAGGGCGCAGCTCGGAAGTAACTCTGAGGTAGAAGCCGAGGGAGGCGGGGGAGATAAACTCCGCAGCGACAATTACCTGGTGCTGCCCCTCGACATCGCTGCAAAACAGCGAAACCCCTCGCCGCCGCCTTCCCCTGCAGCGCAGGCCCCAGTCCCCCAACTCCTCCCCTGCGCTCCAGCGCAGAGCGGCGCATTCTGCCCGCCCCTCCCGCAGACTCCTCTTTCGGGACCCGGGCGGGTTCACACCCCTGACACTCACACACTGGCAAACGGGAACACTCAGACAGGCTCCGGCCTGGAGTCCTCCGCCTCCCGGGAGGGGCACCTGACATCTCGCACGCCAGGTCCCAGTAGGGGAGCGCTTTTCCAATCTCCTGGACGACAGAACTAAAGAAAACCGTGTCCTAGCCCTCTCCCCGTTTCTATTTGATTTTACTCCCTTCCTCTCTTGCCTTCTAATTCACTTTTCAATTGTCTTGCAACTTGTTCTCCAGGCAGTTTCTCTTTTTCTCCACCCTCCCCAAACTTCTTGTCCCTCCCCACCTAGTCGCCTGGTTTTTCTCTCCCTCTTCACCCACTTTTTTTCTGCCTCTTCCCAAATTCCACTCTTTGGGCTTCGCGTCTGTCGCTCAACTTCCTTTTTCTGCTCCCCGAGATCATCCGAAGTGTTCTTCCAGTTCCCGGGATTGGGCAGCCTCAGCCTGGCCCCATTCAGTCGCGGGAGCCCCTGGCTTCTCCAACTGGAGGAGGAAGAAGGCGGAGAGAAGTGGATGGGACCCCCGGCGCCCGGGAGCCCAGCGGAGTGCGCCCCGAAGCGCTCACTTCTTTTCGCCAGCGCCCAGGCTGCGCGGGCCCACGCGACATCTGTCGCCTGCGGTCCCGGCTCACACCCCGCGCACCCCCGCAGCTCCCTGGGCGCTGCCACCCCCCACGCTCCGGCTGCCGCCTTTCCCCGCGGGCGCAGACGACAGGGCCTCGCCTTCAGGCGCCGCTCCAGCTTCCCAGGGTGTCTGCGGCGCGCGGCAGGGCTAGGCGGCGTGGACCCAAGGGCAGCTGGCTATATCACCTTCCATCTTCACCTTCCGGCCCTGGACCCATCTATGGTGGACTCAGCTTGATTCTCTCCACCTTCATTCTCTGCAGCGCTCCGCGCTACTCCAGGATCCAGAGTAGTAAGGCGATGCTTACTTACACTGTGTACTTCCTCAAAGCGCCTAGCACAGTGCCAGACGCACAGCTAGGGCACAATAATTTCCCCACCCCAAGAGCCTAGAACCTCCCTCCCACTGATACCAACCACACTAGGCGCTCAATACCCATGTCCAGTCCTAAGCTCTCAAAACATTACCTCCCTAAACAGTGCCCAGCACCCAGAAGGAGCTCAGTAAATGTTCCTTCCTTAAGGCTTCCCATTGGAGTTTCCCCAAAAGCCTCCTATTCCAGCCCACTCCGAGGGCATCTCCTTCCCATCGTAGCTACAACCGTCTGGGGAGAAGGAGGCCAAACTCCTTAAACAGGACACCTCACTGGTGAAGGAGCGAAGTTGGCAGGACAGAGGAAATTTGCAAATGCGCGGGGTTTGGGGTTGAAGACTGGGCCAGCCAGAAACAAGGACGACGAAGTCTCGAGATGCTATTGGGGTGGCAGAGAATGGAGATCAGAGATTGGAGAAGTGACACTTAGGGAGAAGAGGTGGGAGCAAAGGTGAGGGAGACGGTGGGGACTCAGGAACGGCGAGAGGCTTGAAGGAGACAGGGAACCTTTCTTGAAACTGCGACAGATTATAAGTATTTGGCGTAGCTTACAACTACATTCTCATAGCAAGCACACTTTTTACTTGCATTGTGTGTTTATTTGTGGGGCTGGTGGGGATTATGGAGGCTGAAGTCCTCCGCAAGCCACCGAGCTCTAAGGGAGCAAGTAGCAAAATGCGCTTAAGGACTCGAAGAGATGGGGGCAGAAACGGTGGACCTGACACTTGGAAGGAAAGACGGGGGCTGGGTAGAAGAGCTGGCCGGAGGTGCTTGCAAGAGAAGAGAACAGAGGAAGAAGGAGAAGGGAAGAGAAGAAAGCCAAACTTGCCACTCTCCCGCTCCCGGGCCAGCCCAGCGCCTCCAGTGCCCAGCTGCCGCGCCCTGGCTCTCGCTTGCTGGCTCGCGTACCTGTTGCTCGCTCCGGCTGGGTCTCGGCTCCGGCCCCATCAAGAAGCCCCGCGTTCCTACAAGTTCCGCCTGCCGAGCAGCCAGGCCGCCAGCGCCGCCACCTGCGCGGCCGCGCACAGCCAGGGCCAGTAGGTGGGGAGCGCGCTGGGCGCCGGCGCCCTCCGGCTCCGCGCGCGGCGCCGCCACATGGTGCGCTGGTGCAGCTCGTCGCCGAGCGCCTTGAGCCGGGCGGCGGTGAGCTGCGCGGCGGACGAGCGCAGCCCCAGGCGACCCGCGCTGCAGGCGCAAACGGCCGGGGGGCCGCGGCCGCGGTGCAGGGGGCACGGGCACATGACCGCTGGCCTCGCTCCCGCCCCGCGCTCAGGCCGCCCCTCGCCTCCTCTCCCTCCGGCCTCTGCGCCCGCTGCCGCCGCGCTCCAGCCGCCGGGGGCCTCCCCTGGACACCAAGTTTCTCCTTGTGTTGTGCGTTTGTTGTGCTGACGGCGCTATTATTAATTAAAGTGTCACATGGTGGAGGGGGGCGGGGGGGGGGGTTCCCCCACCCGGCCCCGGGGGGGGGGGGGGGGCTGCAGGCAGAAGAAACCGAGAGGTAACTTTTAACCCTAGCTGCGCCGGCAGCGAGGGGGCGCGCGGTTTGGGAGACGGGGAGCGCGGCGCGGGGCGATGCGAGAAGGCGCCCCGCGGCGGAGGTCCCGGGCTTTGAGGGTCTCGGGGGACCCCCGCGGAGGCGAGGGAAGGTTGTTCTCTTTCCCCTTTTCCTGAATTCAGCTCGAGTTCCGATTTGGCGAGGGAAGCAGCCTTGTTTGCCGTTTTGGATGAAGCTGATACTGAATTCGGCTGCCTGATTCAAAAATATTCCGAGGCTGTTGTTTTGTTTGGGGGAGGTGGGTGGATTCAAAGTCTTGTGGAAGGGCCAGATTACACCTAACTTGCCTCGTTTCAGATCTGACTTGGCACCTGTAGGCTTTCAGCCTGACCCTAACGCGCCCCCAGCGCCCCGCTGGAAACCCTGACGTAGGCGCGGTGGGAGGTTGGAGGGGTCGGTCCTGAGCTCGCGTGGGGCGCGGACAGAGGCTTTCTCGCCGCCCAGCACCTGCACCCCAAAGACCCTCGCAAGGGCCTTTCTAAAGGGAAACTTCTTGTCTGCTTTCTTTGTGAACATTATTTTCCTGATGGGGTTACAGTTTTCTGCGACGATCCCGATTTATGCGCAGTAGAGATCCTAAGGGGTCAGCGAGAGGAGGGGCGCGGGGGACTTTAATTCCTCCTTTTCCAATCCCACATCCGATCCTGTGCACCTCCAGACTGGAGAGTCTGGAGTTGTTGTCACAGCCAGTGAAGGTTCAGATGGGCGGGGCGGCTCTCAGGATTCTTTGGGGGAGAATGAAACCTGCGATCTTAAATCCACTGGGATTCAGGCAACTTGGGGATTCAGACGATCAGGATGAGTCCAGAGGTGGCTCTAAGGTGGGAGTCTGGAAGCTGCTGAGGGAGCTTCCATTCTTTCCTTCCCACCGCAGAGTATAACCACGATTCTTCAAGCCTGTGAACTTCGTTTTGGTCTGAATTGATCAGGAGGAGAAACGTCTGCTTTGGCCTGCAGCGCGGTGAAATGATAACAAAGTCAGGACTCAGGGCCCACACCTCCATGTGATCCTGGTGGCCCTTTCCCTCACCTGGCTCCAATTCTTCTAGGCTTCTTAATGGCCAAGACTTCCATGTCTGGCATCCGTAGGCTTTGGGCGCCCTTGCCTCTGCTGCGTAAAGGTAAATCTCCCAACAATTCTACGTGCAATTACTATAATATTTCAAAGATGAGGAAGCTGAGGTATAGGTAGATAAGGCCCCTTGCCTAAACTCAGAGTAGCTAAGAATGAAACCTGCATGTGAATTAGGGCAGTATGCCGCAGGCTCTAAGCTCTTAACCACGGTTTTATACTGCCCCCTGTAATCTGGGAATAATAATACCTCCATCCCCGGAGTGGGGCAGAGATTAAATGAGAGAAATGTGTGCCAAGCACCTGGCACGCAGTGGGCCCTCGATGAACCTTAGTTCCCTTTGCTTCTGGCCAGAACTGCTTCCCATTCTCCTGGGACTCACCTCCTTAATCCCCCCCTAGTCTCTGCAGAGGGGACCTGATCCATTGCCCGGGTGTAGCGTTCCAAGAATGAAGACACAGTGTCTATTTAAAAAGCCCTTTGGATTTAAATTGAACAATTCCCTCCCCCCCTTTTTAATCTGCACGCTTTTAACGGCTCACTTCATGGACATTAATTTTAATGGGACGATTATTACCCTGTTTGGAAGCCTGCCCCTCGAAATGCTGGGCTCTCAAGGTGGCGCTGGGTCGGGTCCCAGCAGCTTGGATGTTGTCTGTAGAACAGGGGGTGCAGTCTTGGCCATGGGGATGCCACGTTCAGCAGAGGGGGAAGAAAAGGGGGTGATGGAAAAGTAGGAGAGAAGGAATAACCTCTCCCTCTCTGACGCTCTAAGTCTGGCAGGCCTTAATTTGCACACACACGTTGCCCTGTGCTGCTGGACCACTTGCTAACTGGGGAGCATGGCCTTCAGACCTGGCTTTTTGGAGCCTCCATTCTCTCAACTGTACAGTGGGGATAATGATGGTACCCACCCCACAGCCTATATACCAGGAAAGCCCTTACTTAAAACAGTGCCTAGCCCATCATTACTACGAAATGATGAGTTTTTTTTTTTTTTTTTTTTTT